CAGCACCGTCCCTGCCCTGAGGCTGTGCACAAGCCAGGGATCACAGCCCAGCTGCAGGCGAATCCTCACCACATCCCCAGGGGCACACAGGGCACTCCACACACAGGCTTAGCTGCCACAAGGAAGGGATGCTCGTGGCTGTCTAGCGTCAGAAGATGTTAAAGCTTGGACTCAGCCCATCCCAATGGAGGGGCAGAGGGCACTAAGGGACCTCCAGCCAGCCAGAGACAGCAAAACCCTGTCCATCAGCAGAGAGCACCTTCTTCAGGAGCTGGGCAGCTCCCCAGCTTTTGCTCACCCAGCACACCACAGAAACCAGCAGAAAAGGTGGGACAGGCACCAGGGTCCCTTTGCGGGCTCAGCTCAGGCGGGACAGCAGAGTCCCATGTGAACATGCGACGGACGAGTCTGTGCCAGCAGCAGGAAAAGGCTTCCCCTGCCTGGGGGGGGTCAGGAGACCCTCACTCCCCTCTCCCGCTGCCTGGGTTAAAACAGCGAGAGTGCTGCTGCTGCCAGCTGCCCAGGCCACCATGCTGCAGCCCCTGGAAAGGCTGGACAGCATCACCACCCTCAGGACACACTGCATCAAGTGACTCAGACCTCGGGGGTGGGGGGGAGACTTTGCTCAAGCAGCTGGAGACAGACTCACCCTGGGAGAGCGGCTGCATCACTGCAGCAGGGCCGTTCCAGGGGGCCTGGGCCACGTATGGCTTTGCCCCTGCACGGGGCTGGGAGGTGCCCTCAACGTCAGCGTTTCTCTTGTGGTTGTGTCTGTTGCTCACTGGGCTGCTCAGGGCCTTTGTGTGACATGAGCGGTGCTTGGCCTCAGCCACCAAACCTCAATTTTAAGTTCTTGACATAGAGCCAACAGATCTGCTGCCATGGGCACTGGCAGGAACAGCTGCTCTGCGCGGGGACACCAGGAGGGCTGTGCAGAGCTGCAGCCCCATGGGGTGCTCTGGGAGGGGGGGAGCACACCCCCTGTGCTGCCCAGTGAGGGGAGGTGGGTTTAGAAGAGGTGAATTACCGCAAACTCAGAATAGGTGCTGGCAACAGAATTAACGCTGTGGTTACGCTGGACAGGGGCTGTGGGGGTGCACCCACCGCTCAGGGTGGTTCCATTCAGCTGGGACACGTTCTCCTTGTTCCGCTCCCTGTGTCCGGGACGGGGGGGCTTCGCAGCCACGCGGCTTGGGGTCCGAGCCTGGCCAAACTACGGGAAGAAGTGACAGTTAGATGGGACACAAGAATGAGGCAGAGCTAGGAGAGCTGCGCTAGCTTTACTCTGTTACCGCAGAGTGACCGGCAGTGGTTTCAAGCTCCAGGAGCCCTCCATGGCCTAGGGCTCAATTCTAATCCCGGAAACACACAGCAACACACCCACGTCTTAGAGGTCCCCCAAGCTGCAGGCTCAGCACAGAGGAACAGAGGTATGCTAGAAATCTGGGCTGGAAGGAAGACTTCCTGAATGCTGCTACTACCCTTCTCCTCCCTCAAGTCCCAGAAATGTCCTGCCAGGATCGCGGCAGCCCGAGACAGCAGGCTATGGAAAAACAGGGGCTTTTGCACCCCAGGAGCTCGGCAGGGGAGGCAGCGACACACGGCACGGCACAGCAGTCGCGGTTCACCCACCTCCTGCCCAGCCCACCCTGCTGGGCAGGGACTCCCTGGAAAGCTCTTACCTTCCCTCCGGAAGGTGGCAACCGAGACGTTGGCGAGTGGTAGATGGTTCCCCCAAAAGCAGAACGAACAGTGCTGTTGGGTGTGGCACTGGAGATGGAAGTGCCGTTGAGCTGAGGGGAAAAGCAGAGCACACGTCACACAGGGAGGAAGCCGACGGCTGCACAGAGCCTTCTGCCTCCAGAGCACCACAGTACAACAGGCTTGATTGTCCCCAGGGAAAACAGAGGTGCCCACGGCCTGGGCCCTTTCCCTGCTTCCATTACGCTGCCGCAGCACCCCAAACCCTCCCTGCATCTCTGCGTGGGACCGAGGCCAGCCCAAGAAAAGGCAGGGCTCTAGCCTAGTGACAGTGCTCAGCTCGCGGCGGGGTCCCAGCACAACTATGCTGCTTTGCACAGACAGTTTACCTTCCTTACTTTGCCAGGTGTGTGGGGGCCAAGCACTCGCCGCTTTATGGGTGTCCGCGGGGTGCTTCCATACATCATCTCTGTCTCAATCTGGCGGCTTTTCTTCAGGTGCTGTGTGAGAGATCTGCACTTACAAACCCGAGCAGAGGAACAGTGCCGAGCCGGCCGCACAGAGCTGCGGAGCGCCTGCTTGCCATACGGTGCCAGGGGAAGGGCAGGCTTCTGCCAGCAGGCAAATCCCCTGGCAGCCAGTCTGTGGCACTACCAAACAGCAGGTATTTCAACAGAGATTTACAGGCATCCAGAACCAAGCTGCAGTTCTGGCAAGCTGGGGCCAGGAAAGGGGCTCAACACGGACAGACACCCACAGCAATGGACACCAGTCCCGCTGTCAAAGAAAGGTGACTGCATGCAGAGCCACTTCCAGGCAGAGAGCGTGCGAGAGCCCCGGGCAGCGGCTGGGGGGGCAGCTCCCCCTACCCGTTCAACGCAGCAGAGGCTCCTCCAGGCCAGGAGGCAGCACGCTCAGCTTTGCACTCACCCGCTCCTGTTTCTCCTTCTCTTTCTCCAGGCGGTACAGCTGCCACTGCTCCATCACATACTCCATGAACTGCTGCCCCTTCACCAGGAAAATCCCCTCGTGCTCCTGCTCCCAGGCCTGGACCCTGCTCTCCAGCTCCTCCTGCAGCTGATGAGGACACAAGGGCAGTGTAGAGAGGCTGCTGAACATGGGCTTCTCCAAGCCCAGAGATATCCCTTGCTGGCTTTAAGTGCTGCGCTTCTCCTCGGTCGGTGCTACGCAGGCCTATCTGGGACTACAGCTTCTCCTCCAGGGCTGAACCTACCTTGGAAAGCGTCTTCTGCAGCTTTGCTCGCTGCTTCTCTTCTTTCAGCAGATTCCCCCCACGGTTGGCGAAGCGACTGGGGTCAGTTGCTTTCCTCTAGTACAGAAGGGAGGTCAGGAGAGAACCAAACACACCACCCAGTCTCACAGCCCAACATACGACCCTGGAGGAAGCCATCCCTGCTGCACAGCCCCCCCCATCACAAACCACATCAGTGCTCTAGATACAGCACCCCATCCCCTCACCGACCCACTGTGGTTTCCTACTGCCTCCCTGGTCTTTCCCAACAGCACTTTGCACATGGGAGCGGAGGCGCGCGCTGCCCGGTGACCTAGCACTGAGCCAGGAGGAGCACGTTCCTGCCCAGACAATACCTCCAGCTCCAGGAACAGCTTCCAGTTCTCCTCCCATTTCCGGACAGCCTCAAACAGATCTTTGTGCGTTTCGTAGTAGCTCTTCATCTTCCCCACCTCAGCATCATGGAGCTCGAGCAGGGTCTCTGTATAGTCCTCTGGAGAGGATACAACAGCACGTTCAGGAGGCAACCGGGATTCCCCTCGCCTCTGCGAGCTGAGGGCAGCCCTTCTCGGCAGCTGGCCTGCCAGCAGGCAGCCTACAGCTCCCACAGGGGAGTCAATGAGCAGGAAGAGCCAGCACCCACCATCGTAATAGGGGCTGAAGCCTTCCCTCTGCTCCTGACTGTAGAAGCATTTGTCCCAGTAGTCAGCCAGCTCTGCCCGGATTGCCTGAATCACAGATTTCATGTTCTGCAGCTTCAGCTCCTCCAGATGGTCCACTTCCAACTGCAGCTGCCAACAAGATCAGAGCACAGACTCAGAGAAGACAGCATGAGAAGAAGAGGAGCAGAACAGGATTTATCTTCGGCATAAGCCACTTTCTAAGATGAGGCAGTCGCCAGCACCAACTCCCAGGTCCTCCACCCGCGAGGGCAGGATTTGGCCTGCTCACCTCGCACCTGACTGCTGGAAGCAGCTCCTCCACTCCGGCTGAGCAAACAGGAGTGCGAAACCCAGAGCTGCTGCTCCCCAGCCCTCCCCTTCCAAGGGCACAGGATGGTTCTTACAGCTTTCCTGGTTTTGGCTCTGGCCCCAGTCACATGCACTGCAGAAGACTCTCTCTCCTCCACAGGAACCTGCAGCCTTTCCCAAAGTGCAACGATTCTGGAGCGCAGCTCTGTGCACACAGCTTCATTCAGGGATCGCCGGGCTTCCAGCTACAGGAGGGAGAACACAGGGTCAGCGCCAGCACAGCCTGGCCCCGAAGGGCACGAATAGGCCATTTGCTCTACTGCACCTAGCAAAGCTCATCTTTGATGATCATCATCAAGATCTCCCTGCAAAAGCTCCTGAAAGGATGTTCTAACACACAGGCTTGCTGAAAACCGAGCAGCTGCTCTTCACACCACGATGCCAACTGCTGCTAAGAGCTATCGACAGCCTCCACAGCAAGCAACGCTGCCTCAGTGTGCCAACATACCTGCTGCAGCAGATTCTGGAGGGCAGCAATATTGTCCGTGGACAAACAGAAGGCTTCCTCGTCCTCGCACACCACGTCCCGCTCAAAGCTTGTGTCTGGAGTGTGGTCCAGCTCCTCCATGAGGAGGATGATTTGCCGCTTGTTGCTGACAAACTCTTCTCGCCTTTGCTCCTGGAGGTGACGACCAGCATTAGAAACCAGTGAGCACCTTGTGTGCCACCCTTGGCGGGATCCTCACCCCCTCTCTGCTTACCTTCTCGGCGGTCAGGGAGGCCAAGTGGCGCCTGTAACGATCCAGGTCCTCCAGGCTGGGCACGGCATTGCTGTCGATGCAGAACGGGGTTGTGCAGAGGATGTCGCACAAGTCTCGATCTTGTTCTTGCAGGGTTTTCAGCTCCTGCTTCCTGTCCCTTTTCTGCTTTAACATCACTTCCACACGGGTGCGCAAATTCTTTTCCATCTGCAGAATGGTACTTTCTTCCTCTGCCTAGAAGAGTCCAGAAATCAGGTCTCTTTTCTACAACTCTCGCAGACCTGATTCACATATTTAAGGCTTCTTAAACAGAGACGTGGGACACAAGCCCCAGTTCTGAGCAAGATGTTCCCCAGGAAGGTGCAAATGCAGCAGCAACACACAAAATGAGATGCTGCAAGACACCTGGCCTCCTCACTACCATCTCCCAGTGCCCAAACTGTGAGGAGCCACAAAGCCTTCGGCTCTACCAAGCATCAGGAAAAGTGACTTTGGACAGATGCTTGCCTTGTGAGCTCCAGCCTCGCCGAGACACCCGGGCAGAGGCCAGGCAGCAGAAGACTGTTGCCAGCAGGATCCTAGGAGCGAAAAGCAATACCTTACCTCACAGGGGTCCAGCTGGAGCTCCCTGCAGAGGGTGTCAAGCTCCTTCCGACACAGGGCAATGCTCTTTAAGAGGCGCTCCTTCAGGCTCTCCTCCTCTGCGACCATCATGTCCAGGAGACTCTGCAGCACAGGAGTGGTTAGAGAGGCAGGCCGTGGGGACGGAGAGCGAGAAAGGAACACGCAGGGAGACCAGTAGGACCACAGCTAGAGAACTACTGCTGGGGCCAAGCGAAGAAAGGACCAGAAGAAGGAGCAGGCAGTGCGGTGTGCCCAGCAGGACTGGGCAGTGTGGGGCGAGGGCAGAGGCGCAGCGATATTCCCGGGCGTTCCCGACCCAAGCAGGGAGCTCCGGGTGCTCCCGCTAGACCTGGCCGGCCCCCTGCTCGCAGCCTGGCCCGGGGGCCCCGA